ATTTCATGCATCGGGCCTCTAGTATTCTATAAAATCAGAGTCTCTGACTGTATTCTGTTAGACAGTGCACATTAGCTAACAGAAGGATAGATAATCCATCTGATTTAGAGTCTGGTATATCGTATTTCACAATATTTGGGAGTAAGATAACAAGTATAATCCTTACAGTAGAAATATCAAAGCAAACCCACAAGTGCCAGGGTTAGTGAGCCTGATAGGAAGTAGGATGAATACTGCCTCAAAAGGTCAGATTATGAACATTCCTGGATTACTTCTCAAGGCAATGAGGCCAAACACTCTTGAGAACGGAGGTTTCGTGTTGAAAAGGAAAATGGGAGCTAGTCAGCGTGTCAGGGAAAAGCCTGCAGGAAGTAAGGAAGCCAATCCCTTCTCATCAGAACATGCATAAACCGATCATTAAGAATTGGCTGGAATCCATTTTTAATATTAAAGTCTCAAAGCTAAGCTGGTATGGTAGAGATGCGAGCAATTAAATGACTTCATCACTAAAATTCATATTAAATCAAATTAAAAGCAGTTACATCAGAACGGCCATTTACTTCATTCCCCTGAAAATCATCCCTGAGCAGGTCCTCTACATATCGTTCCCATCGGCCCTGAAATGTGTAGGAAGATATTCAATTACTGTTCATCTTTCAAAGGTAGTCTTTGACTTTTTTATTTTCTTTTTTTTAAATATCTATTTTTATTGATTTCAGAGAGGAAGGGAGAGGGAGAGAGAGAGAAATAAACATCAATGATGAGAGAGAATTAACCAAAAAAAGAAGGGAAAAAAAAGGGGGAGGCAAAATTGTGGAGTCTAATTCGGTTCCTAATACAAGTCACTTCCATGGACTTTTAACAATGAGGAGGGAGCACGAGGCTACGGTGATGTCATTTTACAACAATCCCCGACGGAGACAATAAAAGGGTGACAGAGCCCAGGCCTGGGCCTGGTCTGTGCACGGGAGACAGGCGGGAACATGGGAAAGCGTCCGTCTCCCCAGGGAGCCGCGCCACGGGGGCCGGCCCGCTTTCATCTCCCCAGTTGTCTGCGCTGGTATTTGGTGGGAAGGGGGTGCTGGCAATTAAGGGGTGTCACTTGCAAGATGGATAGTTTGGAGAGAAAGGAGTTCCCTTTCTTCTTCTGGTGTGGAAGGAAACGACCCTGTGTTTACCATTTGTAAACAGGGCCCGTCTCGCTGGGCGCGTTACAGTTCCCAGAAGCGTGGTCTGTCATGTGTAACACGCACCAGGAGCCAGAAGGGCCACGAGAGCGAGCCCTGGGATACAGCCTGTGCGTGCAGCTCTATGAGCACAGCTCAGCGCTGGACGCTGACATACATGGAGAGAAATAATGGATTGGAATGTGGGTGCGAATGATGCGTGCTCCGGAGGCCTTACTGTTGACAATCCCCCTAGTTACAAATCTCTGAAAGAAGTGACAGTGAGCCCGGCTGGCGTGACTCAGTGGTCAAGTGTCGACCTATGAACCAGGTCACAGTTTGATTCCCGGTTAAGGACACATGCCCGGGTTGCGGGCTCGATCCCCAGTAGGGGGTGTGCAGGAGGCAGCTGATCCATGATTCTCTCTCGTCATTGATGTCTCTATCTCTCAATAAAAATATATTTTAAGAAAAAGAAGTAAGAGAGAGAAGATATGGAAGAGGACTGGAAAGTTCACCAGGCTCACCAAAGGCTGTGTTAAGCGGAAGAGGCATAACGTTTTCATTTTAGACGAATTCCTCTAGAACAGCGGTTCTCAACCTGTGGGTCACGACCCCTTTGGGGGTCGAACGACCCTTTCACAGGGGTCGCCTAAGACCATCGGAAAACACATATATAATTACATATTGTTTTTGTGATGAATCACTATGCTTTCATTATGTTCAATTTGTAACAATGAAAATACATCCTGCATATCAGATATTATTTACATGACGATTCATAACAGTAGCAACATGACAGTGATGAAGTAGCCACGAAAATAATGTTATGGTTGGGGGTCACCACAACATGAGGAGCTGTATGAAAGGGTCGCGGCATGAGGAAGGTTGAGAACCACTACTCTAGAAGATTTCACAGGAATATGAAATTGAAGTAGCAAAACAACCATGGCCGTGCTGAGGCTATTAAAGGCCCTATGATGTGGAATCTAATGAACAAAATAAACTGATGAACAAAATTGATCCAGAGACACAGAAGCATGAACAGCCTGTGGAATCTCAAAGGGAAGGCGGGGGAGGGAGGGTGGGAAGAGATCAACCAGAGAACTTGTATGCATATGTGCATCACCCGTGGACACAGACAGTGGGGTGGAGAGGGCCTGGGGAGGGAGGTGGGCTAGATGAGGTCAATGGGTGGTGGTGGAGGGGGAGGGGACTGATGTAATACTTTCAACAATAAAGATTTAAAAATTAAATAAATGAAGTCCCTCTGAAGATACTACACTCAAAGGGTCTCAAGAACAAAACTGCCCAGGAGGCAATGGGGGAAGACCGAGTGCAAGGCCCTCCGTGTGGGACAGGTTGGCATCACAGCTCCACGGCTCGTCCCTGTAGATCAGTGGCTCTCAACCTTCCTCATGCCGCGACCCTTTAATACAGTTCCTCATGTTGTGGTGACCCCCAACCATAAAATTATTTTCGTTGCTACGTCGTCACTGTCATGTTGCTGCTGTTATGAATCGTCATGTAAATATCTGATATGCAGGATGTATTTTCATGGTTACACATTGAACATAATGAAAGCACAGTGATTCATCACAAAAACAATATGTAATTATCTATGTGTTTTCCGATGGTCTTAGGCGACCCCTGTGAAAGGGTCGTTCGACCCCCAAAGGGGTCTCGACCCACAGGTTGAGAACCGCTGCTGTAGATGCTGTGGTTCGACTCAGTCGTCCTCGCCTGGAAAGGCTAGAAGCGCAGCCCCGATGGCTCTGCCTCCAGACACTGAGGCAGACCTGGAGACACCCAAGAGTAAGGTTTGACCTTGACAACCCATGGCCTGTAGTCCAAGGGCTGAAGTTGTTGCCTTTAGTTGACTGACCTCCGATGTCTCACTCATTGCCTTCCCGTCCCTGGGTGGGTCATTTAAAAATGGTTGGCCAACGGGAAAGAAATCTTCCTCACTTTCAAGCCTTGGTTAATAAAATGTAGGCTAGTTCCTAGTACAGGTTTAAAATAATTTCATTAAAACGGAAATTTTCATTTAAAACTGTGTTTCCGCCTGGCCGGTGTGGCTCAGTGGTTGAGCATCAACCCAGGAACCAGGAGGTCACAGCTAGATTCCAGGTCAGGGCACACGCCCAGGCTGTGGGCTCAATGCCATGCAGGAGGCAGCTGATCAATGTTTCTCTCTCATGGATGTTTCCATCTCTCTATCCCTCTCCCTTCCTCTCTCTCCAAAAATCAATAAAAACATGTTAATGAAAAAAAAAGACTTGTTTCCTTTGAGACGCCTTCCCAGCATGCACTGTGGCTTGGCTATCTCTACTTCTAATGTTCAAAGAGCTACGTCACCGGGAAGCCACTCAACATCAATTCATCAACAAGAAAGTTGCATCTGTGTGACCTTTTTTTTTCCTGAAAAAGGGCAATTTACTTTAAAAAGATATTTTACTACTTGATTTCATTATTTTGCTACGAATGATCATTTTAACACCACAAGTAAGGTTTACTCTGGAATCCCCTCAATGCGCTACAAATGGGCAAAACCATCTGCCTCTCTCGATCCATTTGAAGGCCCTCTGTGTCACGGAGCCGGTGTTTTTATATTCATTGCTCTTTCCTGGGCATTTTATATTGGATTCTAACTGTTAAGATCTCCCCCTCCCCCTCAAGCATCCGAAACGCTATACCATGCGTCTCTCTCAGCACCTCCCACCCCCCTCAATACCCACAGGTTCTGAGGACTGAAGTCCATTAAGCTAGTAGCATCGCATTTGGCATGTCCCTTTTTTTTTCATTTTATTCCAGAAGGTTTGTCTGAAAGCGTAATGACAACAGAAGCACCGGCTTTGAGAGCCTCTCCCAGGAGAAGGGAAAGGACAGATGTACCCAGACGGAGAGCTGCACGCGCTGCCAGCAACAGCTGGGGAAGTGACAGCTCTGAAGTGGGTGGCCACCCCGCAGCGCGCGGGCTGGAGCCTGAAGGAGGAGCACTGTCACTTGGTTTACTTGTGACTTCCCGGGCGACCCTCCGTCGACCTTCCAGACGCCACGGAGAAGCGCACCTTCGCCCGCAGCCAAGGACAGCCCCCCTCCCACTCTGCTGTTTTACCTTTTCAATATATTTGTATTGATTTCAGAGAGGAAGGGACAAGAAGAGACATCGATGATGAGAGAGAATCATGCATCAGCTGCGTCCTGCACACTCCACACTGGGGATCGAGCCCACAACCCGGGCATGTGCCCTGACCGGGAATCGAACCGTGACCTCCTGGTTCATAGGTCGATGCTCAACCACTGAGCCACGCCGGCCGGGCCTACAGCTATGCTTTTTCTACTACTTCAATTATTTCTCACATTTTGCCCCTTTCCATCCTCATTTTTACAAATGAATGAAAAGAAATAGATATATCTTAGAAAGGGATATCCTTTGTAAATGATATGAATATTAATCTGCTGGTTACTCTATAGTACAAAAAAATAAAAGCATCTGACACAACCTGGAAGGAAGCTATCTGCTGAAAACATGAATGTCCCGCCCTGGCTGGTGTGGCTCAATGGATAGAGTATCGACTTTCAGACTGAAGGGTCCTGGGTTTGATTCCGGTCAAGGGCACGTACCTCGTTTTCAGGTTCCCCGGCCCTGATGCGGTGCATGCAGGAGGCAACCAATCGCTGTCTCTCTCTCACGTCAATGTTTCTCTCTGTCTCTCCCCCTCCCGCTCTCTCTAAACATCAATGGAAAAATATCCTCGGGTGAGGATTAACAAAACAAAACAAAACAAAAAGAATGTCCCCTCCCTGTCGAGAGGTTCCGTGGACACTCACCTTGTCATCTTCATCCTCCTCGTCATCGACTTCCGTGCTCTCCTGAAAGGAAGCCCCATAATTAGTTAATAAAATATCAGCTGAAATGACCAAAGGCAAAATAAACTCATTCACATGAAAGAAAAATGTCTCCAGCCCTGGCTGGTTTGGCTCCGTGGGTAGAGCATCAGCCTGCGGACTGAAGGGTCCCGGGTTCGATTCTAATCAAGGGCACATGCCCCGGTTGCTGGCTCAATCCCCAGCAGGGGGCGTGCAGGAGGCAGCTGGTCAGTGATTCTCTCTCATCCTTGATGTTTCTATCTCTATTTCCCTCTCCTTCCTCTCTGAAATAAAAAAGAAAAAACATGTCTACAGCCCTAGCTAGTTTGGCTCAGTGGATAGAGCATCAGCCAGCGGACCAAAGGGTCCCGGGTTTGATTCCGGTCAAGGGCATGTACCTCAGTTGCAGGCTCCTCCCCAGCCCGGGTCCTGGTCAGGGCGTGTACAGGAGGCAACCGATCGATGTGTCTCTCTCACATCGATATTTCTCTCTGTCTCTCCCTCTCTCTTCCACTCTCTCTCAAAATCAATGGAAAAATATCGCCGGGGTGAGGCTTAAGAAAAAAATGTCTACAGAATCTAAGCGGTCGTCTTTTTAAAATCCAATCTGCAAAAACACCCTTAAGGAGAACGCTTTGAGAGTTCAGGGGCACCGTGGCAACAGCGCACACAACACGCCTCATCTCCATAAAACTTCGCGATAAACACAGCCATGAGGCGAGCGGCCTTGGACGGCGCCCAGCTTCCAGGCGGCTCTGCTGAGCTGAACTTTCTCTAAACACTTCTGTTCTCCTGACAGATGAAGCGGCCGCTACGTTAAGGCGGAGAGGACCGCTCTCGGTTTGTGCGGGGCTCACTGCGAGAGCGATTTCTCTGCTCCTTGGGGGCCATTACGGGAACATCAGACAGCAGAAGTGCGTGAGTCTGAGTATCATCCACCCCGAAAGTAAGTTAGAGGTTTCTTTACGGTTTCACAGTCCTCCTGGGGCTTCGGGTTTGGGTGGGGGAGCAGGTGAGGGAGGGAGGACAAGGCCTTGATCTGGACCAGCCGTGGGCAAACTACGGCCCGCGGGCCGGATCCGGCCCGTTTGAAATGAATAAAACTAAAAAAAAAAAAAAGACCGTACCCTTTTATGTCATGATGTTTCCTTTGAATTTATGTTAGTTCACACAAACACTCCATCCATGCTTTTGTTCCGGCCCTCCGGTCCAGTTTAAGAACCCATTGTGGCCCTCGAGTCAAAAAGTTTGCCCACCCCTGATCTGGCCTAAAGGGCGCCCTGCTTTCGTTTGGGGGGTCACAGCACCGGCTGTGATGCGAGCAGGTTGGTTCACATTCGTTTTAAATCCCTGTCTCTAGAACAAGTAAATTTCAATCATGCCGCTGCTGCAATATTTATTCATTTGTTATTTTATTTTTTAATTGATTGCAGAGAGGAAGGGAGGGGGAGAGAAAGAGAAACATCAATGATGAGAGAGAATCATTGATTGGCTGCCTCCTGCACGCCCCCTACGAGGGATGGAGCCTGCAACCCGGGCATGAACGCGCCCTCTATCTGGGAATCCAACTGTGACCTTCTGGTTCAGGAGTCCGCGCTCAACCACTGAGCCACACCAGCTGGGCCAGAGATGATTTTTTCCATCATGAGAACATGCTAAGGGAAACTCTGTGAAGAGGGTCCCCTTTTGCGTCTAGAAAAACCCAATGTGATGCTGATCTGTTACCAAGTCTCAAAGCCTTAGACTTTTGTTTAAAAAACTGCTGGGTTTTTGAACCTGGAATGCCAGGATTATACCATAAAAGAAGCCAATACATACAGGTTCCTGCTCATGGGGGGGGGGGGGGGGGGGGAGATGCCCTGGTGTGCGTGCGAGGAGAGAGCGAGGGGGGAAGAGCTGGGGAAGAAGGGCAGGGAGTGGAGGCCGGTGTCTCTGAGGGGAAGCCTTGCTGGCAAGTCTGAGAATCGCAGCAGAAACATGGGCACAGGAACAGAGGGACACATGCCCACACAGGCTGGGCCTTCCCTGGGAGTGGGCAAGCGTCCGAGAACACCCTGAGCCTTCAGGCCGGAGGTGAGCACTGAAGGGGGAACCTGGGTGGAGGGGCCGAGGCAGCCTCCAGATGCTCTGCGTCCCCTGGAGGGACTTTTCTCTCGTGGCTGACAACGTTCTTCACCTTAACCTCACGGAGCACAGAGGTGCCCCCGGACACGTGCTGCTGGCGCGGGACAGATGCCCGAGCACCACAGGGCTCTCTGGACTCTGAGGAAATAGCCCAAGACTCAGAAACACAGAGGAGACCCCAGGTGACACCTGATACAAGATCTCTACTACAGCCCTGGCCAGTGTGGCTCATTGGATAGAGCTTCGGCCTGCGGACTGAAGGGTCCCAGGTTCGATTCCGGTCAAGGGCATGTACCTTGGTTGCAGGCACATCCCCAGTAGGGGGTGTGCAGGAGGCAGCTGACCAATGTTTCTCTGTCATCGATGTTTCTCTCTCTCTCCCTTCCTCTCTCTCTCTCAAATCAGTAAAAACATATATTTCTAGCCTGGCCAGGGTGGCTAAGTGGTTGAGCATCAACCTATGAACTAGGAGGTCACGATTCAATTCCCAGTCAAGGCACATGCCCGGGTTGTGGGATCGATCCCCAGTGTGGGGTGTGCAGGAGGCAGCCGATCAATGGTTCTCTCTCATCATTGATGCTTCCATCTCTCTTTCCCTCTCCCTTCCTCTCAGAAATCAATTAAAAAATTAATATATATATTTTTTTCTATAAAAAAGATCTGTGCTATAACATGGACATATGTGCAAGGTGGATCCTCCAGGATCAAACCAAATGGACTTGGGCCATGATTTAGTGGTGGTGCTGACGGTGCTGGCTTATCATTGTTAGCACCTTTGTCTAGAGTCAAACATCAGAGCTATTGGCGTCTTGGCTTACCTGGGAGTCGTGGGTGCTGCTCGCCTTCCCTTTCGTGGGTTCGATGAAATTATAGGCAAAGAGCAGCAGCAACGCCAGGGGGATCATGTACAGCTCAAAATTCCACACCGTGGCCAGGAACACCTGATGGGAAGACAAGACCAAATCACTGCTTGAGAACACGGAATGGCAACCATCTTCCAAGCCTCCTCAGTGACTTCAGGGAATTAAATCCAGGACTCTCACTACAGCAGCTTTTAGAAACGGTTACTAACAGGCACAGGCACACACACACACACACACACACACACACACACACACACACACTGATTAATGCAGTTGTAGAGTTGTAGAACTGGTAGAATGAGGAAGAAACGATTGGCCAGGTACAGGCTGGAGCAGACCGATCTGGTCCCATACCTGGAAACCCCATTCCCTATCCTATCGACTCAGCTGTCTGCTCCTAGCTGTATTGTACCAGAACCGAGGGACGGTCGTATGCAAACACCCACGGTCCCCAAGAGGCCGGCCACATGCCAAATTTTGCCAACCGTAAGGCTTATTTTAACTGGAGAGGGGATTACTTTTTAAATTGGCTTCCAATATTTTAAAACCCAAGTATTTCAGGTAAGACATTCCAGATTTTCAAAGTCTCTTTAAGAATCTTAAAATCGTCACCCTAGCAGGTTTGGCTCCGTGGAGAGAGCACTGGCCTGCGGACTGAAGGGTCCCAGGTTCGATTCCGGTCAAGGGCATGTACCTTGGTTGCAGGCTTGATCCCCGGCCCTGGTTGGGGCAGGTGCAGGAGGCAATTAATCTGTGTCTCTCTCTCACATTGATGTTTCTCTCTCTCTCTTTCTCTCCTCCTCCTCCTCCCTGCCACTCTCCAAAAATCAATGGAAAAATATCTTTGGGTGAGGATTAACAACAACAAAAAAACCCATATATATACATATATATATATACACACACATATATATGTGTATATATACATATATACATATATGTGTGTGTGTATATATATATATGATAGAATTTAAAAATCTTAAAGTCTTCCAATATTAAGGCTGGATGGCCCCAACAAAATGATGGGCCAGGAATGCCCACATCAGACAAGCTACCTGCCCCATTTCTATCCGCCTGTGAACTTGGGACCCTCCCACAGAAAGGATGAGCGAGAGCTAGGGTTTGAAGCCAAGTGCCTCTGCCGCCATGGTCACCGGAAACAAGAACGCCACGAAGACACGGCCCTGCCTCCAAGTAACACGCGGATTAGCAGGACAAAGAGGAAAAGAACACTTGGCAATTATTTCACGAGGCAGGAGTGACATCTCGGGCACGTTATTTCCAGACTTAACGCCCCACTTTCCTTTCAAACTCACAGGTGGTCCCACAAGATGAAATACGGTAACTTGTGGTGATCAGCTGTCAGCTCGCCAGTGCTGGGAAAAAAGTCACTCATGTAACTTATCAACTTAGAACAAATTAGAGACTTTCAGGCCGCATTCTTTAAGGATGGAGTTTCTGCTGGTTTTACTTTCCCCTTTTGCATGTACGATAGGATTCAAGAAAAAACAACAGAAAAAAAGCGCTTCTAATCTGTATTTATACACAAGCTTCTTTCCTAAGTACATAATCTGTATTCTCATCTGAATATGAAACGTTTTAACATCCCATGGTTTGCCCGGCCAGTATGGTGCAGTGGGTTGGGTATCTTCCCATGCACGAGGTCACCGGTTCCATTTCCAGTAAGGCCACATGCACCAGTTATGGGCTGGATCCCCAGTAGGGGGGTGCAGGAGGCAGCCAATCAATGATTCTCTCTCATCAATGTTTCTCTCTCTCTCTCTCTGCCTTCCTCTCTAATAAAAACCCAAATCAATACAAATATATTTTTAAAATCCCCATGGTTTGCATCATGCTAACTGGACACCCTCTACATTTCTTGATGACTTTATTTAAGTGGGAAAAGTCAATCGCTCATCTATGGCCTAATAAAAACCCACACCACTCATCAAGGCAGAGCTGCCAGTTGAAAAAGTTGAACAGCTCAAAATGAAATAAGAAAGAAGGCATTTAATATGTTGCAACTGTTGGCTCCTTCCCTCCTAAAATGATCATAATTTCTGGTCAAGGATCAGACAATGAATTTCTCATTATGTGTTTTTTTGTGTTTGTTTTTTGCAGAAGCTGGTAATTGAGCAGTTGAAAGTCCGATTTGGGTAAATACATCTTCCACAGCCATCAGCAAATTCTCTGCTCTGATTAAAGGAAGGGAGGAAAGCATCCTCACACATTTATTCCCCCATAGAGCTGGGTATCCTGAAGAGGTCAAGACAAAAACAATTCCATTAAATGTACCAGCAAGCGTCTCACTCATTTCCGAAGCAGAATTGTTGGCACCGGAGCCACCCTCCGTGGTACAAGTCCGATGGGGCTCTAATTGTCCGCTAAGTGGACAGAGCGTTCTAGAAAAGTCTTCTCTGGCCCTAGCTGGTTTGGCTCAGTGGATAGAGCGTCGGCCTGCAGATGAAGGGTCCCAGGTTCGAGTCCAGTCAAGGGCACATGCCCAGGTTGCAGGCTCGATCCCCAGTAGGAGGTGTGCAGGAGGCAGCCGATCAATCAATGATTCTCTCTCATCATTGATGTTTCTCTCGCTCCCTCTCCCTTCCTCTCTGAAATCAATAAAAGAAAAAATAAATACACACACACACTCACTCACACATTCCCTCACGTGAACCATCAGTGGATCACCAGAATAAAAGCTCAAATGCAAACCCCGCAACTACCCGTTCAAGGTTTGGCCCGTTCTGTTAAAAAAAAAAAAAAATCTGTTGCACCATGAAAATAAATGTACAACCGAAATACACGCGAAAACAACCACCACCAGAAAGAAATCCCCGAAACAACGTTTCTGTCTAATTGTAAACCCCCAAAATGAAGAGTCAGATGACATGTAGAGAAGGGAGTCTCCCTCCACTTTTTTTTTTGTAGGATCCGATCCATGTAGGCACGGAGGGGAAACATTGGCAAAGGCCCTTGAAAAACCAGGAGGCAGATGTCCAGGTAACCGCGAAGCCAGGAAACGGTTTATTTTAATAAAGCTATCCTACACGGCGCCCCAAATCGGGAGTGGCAACGAGGCTGGGGCAAGTTTGAGCTATCACTACCTGTTAGCCCTGAAAAATCAATTAAAGTCACCCTTCCACCGAGAGTCCCTTTCCAGCCAATGAAAGTAGCTTCGCCCTGAGACTTGCATGAGTGGCTGCGGAGAAATGTACATGAAACCTACACTCCAGGTCCTGCATTCCTGCCCTGCCCACTTTCGTATAAACTAACCACCCTAAGACTAGCCTTTGGGGGCAGTGGTAGAAATGGGGGGGGGGGGTAAGGGGGGGGGGGGGGAGAAGGAGACAAAAAGAGAAACGAAAAGAGAGAGAAATCCCTGCTGCTACCCGTCTCATCCTGAGAATCATGTCTCCTTTTGGTGAATTCCAAAAATTTCTTCAAAAGCTCTCTTTTTTTCTCCCCCACCCCTCCTGCAGAAGACAGAGCTGTGCTCCATTTTCTGTGCAAGAGAAGAGATCTGACTTTGCGAGTTGAAAGGGAGGGCAGGGAAGCCATCCCAAGTGTTTTAGTAATTAAACGAATATGCATAATGAGCCATATGCCCAGAGGGCCTGTTCTTCATGTGGGCCAGATTTTTGTTTGAATTTTTAATTTTTATATACAGATGAGACATCCCGTGTCGGCGCCCGACAGCGTGAGGGAACATGCCATCGGAAGCAGAGCGAGGGGACGGTCCGCGCAGGGCCCGGAACAGGAGACGCGAGAGAAATTCGCTTCTGAAGATGTGGGTTCGAATGGGTCCCCCCTCGCCTGCAGCCCCCCACCCCCCCCCCGGCCCCCCCTCTCCCCGCCCGCTCTAGCAATTGTCATCTGCTCAGCGGCTGTAGGAGATTCGAATAACGAACACACTGACAGCTCTATACAGTTTGAATAAAATACAGTGGCGTCAGTTGAAAAGTGTGAAAATCCCATGGGGCAAACGAAAATTCTTTTTTTTTTAAATATATTTTTATTGATTTCAGAGAAAAAGGGAGAGAGAGATAGAAATATCAATGATGAGAGAGAATCATGGATTGGCTGCCTCCTGCACGCCCCACACTGGGGATCGAGCCTGCAACCCGGGCATGTGTCCTGACCGGGCATTGAACCATGAGCTCCTGGTTCATAGGTGGACGCTCAACCACTGAGCCACACTGGCCGAGCAAGGATTTCTTTTTTTAAAAAAATACTTCTACATCCATCATTCCGACTGCCATCTTGAATTACAGGAAATCCTCCCAAGGAAGCTACATAAATATAATATTGCATGCTCTAGGCCAGCTGTGGGCAAACTACGGCCCGCGGGCCGGATCCGGCCCGTGTGAAATGAATAAAACTAAAAAAAAAAAAAAGACCGTACGCTTTTATGTAATGATGTTTACTTTGAATTTATATTAGTTCACACAAACACTCCATCCATGCTTTTGTTCCGGCCCTCCGGTCCAGTTTAAGAACCCATTGTGGCCCTCGAGTCAAAAAGTTTGCCCACCCCTGCTCTAGGCCCATGGTCAGCAAACTGCGGCTCACGAGCCACATGCGGCTTTTTGGCCCTTTGAGTGTGGCCCTTCCTAAGCCTTGGGAGGACCCTAATTAAGTTACTAACAATGTACCTACCTATATTATAGTTTATGTTTAAAAATGTGGCTCTCCAAAGAAATCTCAATCGTTGTACTGTTGATATTTGGCTCTGTTGACTAATGAGTTTGCCGACCACTGCCCTAGGCCAGCAGTCGCCAACCACTGGTTTAAGGAAACCTTTGGAGCAACCAGCCTAGGCCACATATATTAGCGATGAGAATTAGAGAAACTCATACCACTTTAAAAAAAATATTGATTGATTTTAGAGAGGAAGGGAGAGGGAGAGAGAGACAGAAACAGCAAAGATGAAAGAGAATCACTGATCGGACGCCCCCCGCCTGCCCCACACTGGGGACCGAGCCTGCATCCGGGCATGTGCCCTGACCGGGAATCGAACTGACACCTCCAGGTTCATTGTTCATTGGTCGATACTCAACCACTGAGCCAGGCCGGACGGG